GTCTTATATCGAAATGCCATAAGCCCCCCCAATGGTCTTTCATGCAAGTATCACAAAGACAGTTAACAATTCACTTACCAAGTAATGGTCCGACATTGGTGCCTTCGAACCATTAATATTGTGAGAAAAATCACCTCACGCTGCCGAATCACACAGATGAACCCCGACTACTGGCTGACAGCTCTCCGAATTATCAATAATAAAACAATGCCTAATTAACAATTGGGTTCAGATCCACAACAATAAGACCATAATTATGGTAAAAAGACCATTCTATCCCTAACCTAGCTTGGTCCAAGACCAAGGGCCAAACTCACACTCTGAAGTCCCAAAAGCCAAATATTCAACCAAGGCCTAATTATGGCTCAATTTTACAAATTGGGCCCAACCCCCTTACATGGGACTTACCCTAAAGCCCATCCAAATATCCTAGTCCATACACTTTTTCTCAGATGGCCCAACAAGAACCCAAACACCTAAGCCTAAAAGAAAGGCCATACTCGAAGCCCAAACACAATTAGGATTTTCACATAAAATAACAATTAGGGTTAAGTAGGAACACTTAAACCATTAAGGAATTGATCAATTAAGCCCATCACTCTACTAGTTCAATCATTCAACATGGTCGGGCATCACTCATAATTCTTGATGATAATTAATCTCTAGATCGTTTAGATCTTTCACAAGTATATTGATGAAGAACAAAGAATTCAATCACAATACGATTAAGAACACAATATGGAATCAATAAGATTTAAATATAGTCATGCCTCAGCAGAGCTCGATAAAGAACTACCACTGTAGAGGCGAGCTAGGGTTTTCAATACTTTGATAAGAAAATAATTAAAGCGCTACTAACAAGGGATGCATGCATGCACCTTAAATACTAAAACCCTAGAATAAAATAATGCACGGTTGGACGGGCGCAAACTGGCTACAAAATTAGGCTAAGGACCGAGCCCATGATGCAACACTATACTACCCAACAATCTCCACCTTTGCATCAAATGAGGCGAGAGATTATTTTTGTTCAGTAGCCTTCACAGTCTTCACAACTTTGAACAGTCGAGGAATGATAGCAAGAAGAGTCTGCCAAAACTGAATATACCATCGCAACATGATCCAAGAAACTAGTTGAGAACATGTGTTTGTCAATAAGAACAAATAGTCATTTTTGACCTGCGCCCCTAATGAACATCACAGTGTGATACTGCGTGACAATCTTGCCCTTGATCATTTTTTTTATATCGCGAGCTCTTCCCATTGGTTTGATCGTTGGTCGCTTGTGAATGGCAGATGTGATTTCTTGATCCATTTTCACCACTTTATGAATGTAGAAAACAAGCATTCGCTTGATGTGGTCGATAATCGGCTGATAATCCTATGGGTTGAATAGCAGAATGTTGTTGAGGAGTATCCAGTCGTGAGGGTTAAGGTTCGGAAGATCAGCTAGGGAAATGGTATGAACGGAGCTATCTGAGCCTCAAGTTACTTTGAATTTGGCGTTGACAAATTTCCCTGCTGAATAAGGCTTCAGTACCTTGACAATAGTAATCTTCTGTGAGCTCCAAGTCAAGTACTGTGGCTGAGCAAATTCCAAATAAAATTCCAACAGATCCCAATCT